CAGCAGCAGCAGCAGCAGCAGCAGCAGCAGCAGCAGCAGCAGCAGCAGCAGCAGCAGCAGCAGCAGCAGCAGCAGCAGCAGACCCTCGACGACGATCATCTTGTCGCCCATGGTGCCTGCGGGGACCTCCTTAATTGCTGCTGCAGTGCCGAGTTTGCTGCTGCTGAGTTCGGAAATGCGGGGAACTATTCTGCCCCCAGTGGCCACCGCCAGCAGCTCCAACTCCGCCCCCCCCACCCACCGCACTGCTGGCAGCTGCTCCGCCAGCAGCAAGTGGTTCGCCTCGTCGTCGAAGCCCCACTGACACATCAGCTGCAGCAGCAGCAGCAGCAGCAGCAGCAGCAGCGCAGCAGCAGCAGCAGCAGCAGCAGGAGCGGCAGCAGCACAACCACAAGGCCAAATCGAGCGCCGCGCACACCACCCGTTTCCCCTCTCTCCCCCCTGGCTCCCCGCCCTCCCGCTGCTGCTGCTGCTGCTGCTGCTGCTGCTGCTGCTCACGAAATTGGCTCCTGCTGCTTTCAACCCCTGCAGCATTTCGCGGAAGCAGCGCTGCTCCGCTGCCTGCAGCGCCTTATAACCCGCAGCGTCCCGCACCGCCAGGCGGTGCTTCGCCTTCGGCCGCGGCGGCTCCAACGCGGCGGTGAGCAGCGCCACGCGGGCGGGCGAAGTGCTGCTGCGCATTTGCGGGTGGCTGAGTTCCTTGTGCAGCACCACGCCGTGCACTAGGCGGGACTGTTCGAGTAAACCGCCGCCGCGCGCGTCCAGCTGCGCAAACCCTAAACCCTAAACCCTAAACCCTAAGCCCTGGGGATGCGGGTGGTCAAAGAACCAGCTCCTGGCGATACAAACTCGCTCCAAAACCTTTGATTCTAGCCCCGACACAAACCCTAAACCCTAAACCCTAAACCCTAAACAATACACGAGTTCTTTGTGCAGCACCACGCCGTGCACTAGGCGGGATTGTTCTAGTAAACCGCCGCCGCGGGCGTCCAGCTGCAAAAACCCTAAACCCTAAACCCTAAACCCTAAACCCTGGGGATGCGGACGGTCAAAGAACCAGCTACTGGCGATACAAACTCGCTCCAAAACCTTTGATTCTAACCCCGACACAAACCCTAAACCCTAAACCCTAAACCCTAGGCGATACACCCTGGGGATGGGGATGGTGAAAGAACCAGCAACTGGCGACACAAACTCGCTCCAAAACCCCCGTTTCTAACCGCGACACAAACCCTAAACCCTAAACCCTAAACCCTAAACCCTAGACAGTGAGCCCTGCGGATGAGGATGCGGGTGGTGAAAGAACCAGCACGTGGCGACACAAACTCGCTGCAAAACCTTCGTTTCTAACCGCGACCCAAACCCTAAACCCTAAACCCTAGCGTCAGTTTTAACCACAAATGCTCACAAACAAGGGAAAAGCAGGGGCCTCCGACTCGCTACAAACCCTTCCCTAAACCCTAAACCCTAAACCCTAGTTGCTGCGGGGGGGGAAAGAACCAGCGCCGGGCGACCCAAACTCGCTGCAAACCCTTAGTTCCAAACCCTAAACCCTAAACCCTAAACCCTAGCGCCAGTTCGAACCACAAATGCTCACAAAAACGGGGAAAGCAGAGGCCTCCGACAAGCCATACCCTAAACCCTAAACCCTAAACCCTAGCACCGCGCCCCAAACCGCCCGCGACTGCTCCAGCAACCCGCCCCCACGCACGTCCAGCTGCTCCCAAACCCTAAACCCTAAACCCTAAACCCTAAACCCTAGAAGGGATGGGGACTGCTGCCGGGCCCGGAGAGAAGAGGTCGGCGCTACACTTCGGGCGCACTCGGTACTCGGGGAAATGGGCGAACTGGTTGAGGCGCTAGGGTTTAGGGTTTAGGGTTTAGGGTTTAGGGTTTAGGGTTTACCCGGATCATGTCGAGGTTGACGTCTTTTCTCTCTTTGTCCGCAACAGCAATAACTGCTTCCACGCAAAGATCCGCCAAGTGTTCTTTGCAGCTGCTAACCACTTTCGACCCCAAGGCTGTCCTTGCTGCCTGCAACCTGCAGCAGCAGCAGCAGCAGCAGCAGCAGCAGCAGAGCAGCAGCAGCAGCAGCGGCGGCGAAGGGTTAGGCAGGTCCCCGGCTGCAGCGGCTGCTGGGCTGTTTGCTGCAGCAGCAGCAACAGCACCTACGCTGTGGGATTAGTACAAAGAGCAGAGCAGCAGCAGCAGAGCAGCAGCAGCAGAGCAGCAGCAGCAGAGCAGCAGCAGCAGAGCAGCAGCAGCGGGCCAACAGCAACAGCAGCAGACCAACAACAGCAGCAGCAGCAGTAGAACAGCAGCAGCAGCAGCAGCAGAACAGCAGCAGCAGACCACCACCACCACACCACCACCACCACCACCACCACCGCCACCAGCACCAGCAGCAGCAGCAGCAGCAGCA